CGCTGAAAAACAGCCTTCATGACTCCCGAGGGCATCTTCTGCTACCTCGTCATGGCCTTCGGCCTAAAGAACTCGGGCGCCACCTACACTCGGATGGTGGCCAGGGTATTCCAAGCTGTCCTATGGTGTACCATGGAGGCATATGTTGACGACATGATCGTCAAAAGCAAGCAGTCAACAAGCCATGCTGACGACCTGAGGGAGATCTTCACCATCATGCAGAAGTTTAGCCTTCGGCTGAACCCAAAGAAGTGTACCTTCGGTGTTCAGGGGGGCAAATTCTTGGGCTACATGGTGAGCCGAAGGGGTATCGAGGCTAACCCCGAGAAGATCCAGGCCATCATCAACATGGAGCCCCCCCCCCCCCCCCCCCCCCCCGCAACGTAAAAGAGGTCCAACGATTGACGGGCCGTCTGACAGCCCTCAATCGCTTCTTATCGAAATCGGCGGAGAAGTCCTTACCCTTCTTCCAGATCATGAGAAAAACCGCCGGTTTTCAGTGGACTTCAGAGTGTCAGGAGGCCTTCGAGGAACTAAAACGGTACTTATCTTCGCCCCCTGTGCTCTCTAAATCCAAGGTGGGGGAGATCCTGTACCTTTACTTGGGTGTTAGCCCGGCAGCCATCAGCTCAGTACTCATCCGGGAAGAAGATGGCATCCAACATGCCATCTTCTATGTTAGCAAGACCCTCAGGGAAGCGGAGCTCCGGTACTCCCCCGTTGTAAAAACGGTGTTGGCTATCGTGTGGACCGTCAAGAAGTTGGGCCATTACTTCCAAGCTCACCCGGTCCAGGTCCTCACTCACCAACCCCTCGGCGCCTTGATGAGGAGCCCCACCAACTCCTCCCGAATGGTAAAATGGACTGTCTTCTTGAGCCAATACAACATCGACATCCGTCCTAGGCCCGCCGTCAAGGGCCAAGCCCTAGTGGACTTCGTGACGGAATGTACGGCAAGATCAGCCGCGGACGAGGAGCCCTCGGCCCCTTCGGATGATTGGTGGACCCTCTACACCGACGGCTCCTCCGCCGTCAAAGCATGTGGAGGAGGGGTGGTTCTCATCTCACCCGAAGGCTTTCGGGCCTATTATGCAGTCTGCTTCTCCTTCAAACTCTCTAACAATGAAGCCGGATACGAGGCCCTCCTCTGTGGCCTTCGGCTGGCAGCTAACATGAAGGCCCGACAAATTCATGTCAAGTGCGACTCTAAGTTAGTCGTCGGCCAAATCTCCAGGGAGTACGAAGCCAAGGAAGGGAGAATGAAGCAATACAAGGAGGCGGCCAAGGAGTTGCTTAAGGTATTTGAGGCACACTCTCTTACTCAAATACCGAGGGCTCAGAACTCCGAGGCCGACATTTTATCAAAGCTCTCGGCAGAATCCCCTGAGCATATCTCGAAGATTGCAAAAGTAGAAGAGCTCAGCCTTTCTAGCATACATGCTAGCCCCATCATGCACATACAACAAAGGCAAGGTGACTGGATCTCAGACATTGTCGCCTTCATCACCACAGGGCAGCTGCCCGAGGATGAGGCCCGCGCCAAGCTAACAAAGCTGAGGGCTCCCAGCTACACTATCGAGGACGGAAGGCTTTACAAAAGGTCCTACAACGGGACATTACTTCGGTGCCTTCACCAAGATGAAGCCGAAGTGGCGATGGAGGAAGTACATAGTGGCACTTGCTCAGCTCACCAGGGACCATTCTCCATGTCCAGAAGGCTAATAATCCAGGGCTACTTGTGGCCTACGATGGCCCGGGATTGTGCGGATCTTGCCCGGAGGTGTCCCGCATGCCAACACTTCCAGAAAGCCCCCGACAGGCCAACGGTCAACTATGCCCCCATCAGCACATCCATACCCTTCGCTCGATGGGGCATAGACCTTGTGGGCCCTCTGCCGAGGGGTACCTCCAACAACAGGTACATCATCGTCGCCATCGATTACTTCACCAAATGGGTGGAAGCTGAGCCCCTCGCCAGCATTACCGAGGCCAGATGCCGTCATTTTGTTCTCAAAAAAATCCTCACAAGGTTTGGCGTCCCCCAGCAAATCATCTCTGACAACGGGACTCAGTTCGAGGCAGCCCCCTTCTGTGCCCTCCTAAAGGCATGGGGCATCAAACACACCTTCTCATCCGTTGCCTACCCCCAGGGCAACGGACATGTGGAGAACACCAACAGGACCTTACTCGAGGGCCTAAAGAAGAAACTGGAGGCCGAAGGGGGTGGTTGGGTAGAAGAGCTCCACAACATCTTATGGGCCTACCGTACCACCCCTCAGCGGGCAACTGGTGAGACACCCTTCTCCCTTTGCTACGGATTTGAAGCTAAGTCCCCCACTGAGGTAACTCTTCCAACCCGAAGGGTCACACAGTATGATCCAGAGGCCAACGATGCCAATATGGCCCTCGACCTCCACCTTATTTCAGAACGCCGAGAGCAAGCCTTCATACGCGCAGAAAACTACCGAAGGCAAGTGAAGAGTTACATTGACGCCAAGGTCCGCTCCCGGGAATTCCAAGTGGGGGACTATGTCCTTCGAAGAAGGGAAGCTAGCCAACCAACCAAGGGCGGAAAGATGGCACCGAAGTTCGAGGGCCCCTACATCGTGGCAGCCATCATCAAACCAGGAACTTACAAGCTAAAACGCCCTAATGGGACTGAAGTCCCTAGGCACTGGAATGTACATCACTTAGTTAAATTTTATCAGTAACATCAGAGCGGCCAAGCCCTCATAACTAGTGAATGTATTATTTTACGGCCCAAGGCCTAAAAATTCTGAAGAACGAAGGCATTTTGAAGACACCAAGAACATGGAACAGGATTCTTACGAAGGGCCAAGCCCTCATATCACCCCCTGGCCCAAGGCCTTACCACAAGGAAGAACCCTCGGCACCAAGTGCCGAGGGTAGACAAAACTATCACCTAAAGCAACAAGAAAGTACCAACTGTCCTCAAATGGAGACCCCTCGGCACCCGGTGCCGGGGGGACACACCACTGACAACTTTCAACAAATGGGAAGAAACACCAAGTGTTTCCACAGAAGACCCCTCGGTACCAAGTACCGGGGGCCGTACACCGAAACAAACACCAAGTGTTGTTTCTAAAGCCGTACCCCTCGAGGACGCCTATACCGAAGGCGCCACCTCTCGGTGCCGGCAGCATGTAGCGCCCCCGGTCATTTGCAACCAGTGTGCAAATGAAAACCCTTCCCTGAAACGCTTTCCGCGTCATTACCCCAAGGGTATGACAGGCACGAGAAATGCCCAGGATTCGACTTTCAAAAACGGAACGCTTTCCACGCCATTTCCCCAAGGGATTGGCAGGCTTCTAAAAATGCCCAGGATCCGATTTCCAAATCGAAACGCTCCCCGCGCCACTACCCCAAGGGTGTGGCAGGCCACGGACTACGTCTAGCGCCGAGGGGACGACTTTCAAAACTGAGGCGCTTTCCGTGCCATCCCCCAAGGGGAGGCAGGCTACAAACTACCATATCTTGTACCCAGGAAACGACCCTCGATCCCTTCGGAACCCGGAAGGTTAACCCGAGGGAGGAGCTAATGGTGTATTCTGTTACCTCCCGATAGGCCAAGCCTTACCAAGAAACCAAGTTTCTTGAAGCCTTCCCTTCACTATAAAAAAAAACGGGGTGGTGAAGGGGAGTAGACTCAGCGAGAAATCAATGAGTACATCACTCCAACAATTCACGAAAACATACCGAGGGCTCCCCATGGGAACGCCTTCGGTACCTGGAAGCTCATGAGTACCAAGGATACCATTCACAACAGACATCATCAACAAATGGCTAAGTCCACTCAATGATTGCCTCCGGCTATACCTAAAACCGAAGGCTCAAATCCTACAAAACATGACAGGCTCAGCCGACAACAACTCAAAACGTCCCCGAAGGCTACTTTATAACAAAGCTATCAGATGGTGGCCAAACCAAATCAAGAACCACCTCCGGCACCTCACTACATGCCAAGGGGATACATCCAGACAATTCCCGAGGGAGTCTGCCTTTTTATGCTAGATTTGATTTACAAACTCTCCTATATCAACATTGGGGGGACATAATAAACAGCCGAAGGCTTTTGTTACCACATGCCAACATTGCAAGATAAAGAGAACTATCCTAAACCTGCAGAATGTACATCCAAAGGGCCCCGCCCGAAGGCTAGCAATAGGAAGTACTTAAGAAAATAATCTAAGTCCTAAATACTTTGCCCCCTGTGGAGCCACCAGTCAATCAAAGGCATATCTGAGACAAGGTCCTCACATTCACCCGAGGGCTCCTACCTCACACAACTACACTTAGAAATATTTTCTAAGTCCCAAATGTTTTTGACCCTCGGTCAAATCTCCATGCAGCCAGAGGGGCCGCACAGTCAAAGGCTTGATGAAACTACACTTAGAAATATTTTCTAAGTCCTAACTATTTCTGGGCCCTCGGTCATATATTCAGTCAGCGAAGGGTACCCAATTACCGAAGGCTAGACTGTATTCAAACACTTAGAATTTTTTTTCTAAGTCCTAAACACCCCGCCTCCGGTTATCTCATGAAGGTTACACAGAATCAGAGGGAAGGAATTTGTCGGGGGCTAACAGATGACGTATAACACTTAGAAAAATTTCTAAGTCCTGAACGTTGGGCCCTCGGCGAAATGTTCAGATGACTAAAATAGGCCTAATAGTCGAGGGATACAAAAGGCACTATGCTTAGAGGAATATATTCTAAGTCCTAACATCATAAAAGTTTGTCATCTTTCTTTTTTGGGACGTCTCAAAAAACTTTGACACTTTCCCTTTTAATAAATTATTTTGTGATTTCTGTTATTTCTCTCTTCTCTGCATAAAACTCAACCACACAGTTTTTATTTAATTATTCTCCTTGACGGTCAAACTTATCAAAGTTTTAAGGTACAGAGGTAGTAATTAAGATGCAATATGTATTTAAAAAAACACATGGGGCATTTATCCTGAAATAACTAGTGAGAACATAAAAACAAACAAGATGCCCTTAGTCAGTTGGGAGTGTTCGTTGACAAGGGCAATATTCGTTTATTAACGGTAACCAAACAAACAAAATCTTATTCTCTGTAACGCCATCCCATCCACAAACCTCTATTTCCCTTTTTCTCTGCACCTCCAGGTTCCTCCTATTGAAAGCAAAGTTCCCACCTGACAATTTTTTTTAGAGTGAATGTGGAGGGGACTTGCGGGGGAAGGATCGGAAACCAACAACGTTTCGTGAAGACCCAGCAAACCCCCCATGTTTTGGGTGTTTCTTGTCCATTTCAAGCTTGGAATTGGTCCCCAATTCTGAACCATGCATATACATGCCCATAAAAATGCGTACATATGCGCATTCACATTTTAAAGAATTGTTAAACCTAATTCAGGTTGGCGGGTTGAATTTATTGAATTCGGGTCGTCTGAGCATTCTAAGATTCATAGGGGGTGATTCCCCCGATCTTGGTGCAAAAGATGGCTCTTTTTCGCAAGTTTTTCTACAGGAAGCCTCCTGAAGGGCTTTTGGAGATATCTGAAAGGGTTTTTGGTATGTTTTTTATCTTTACTTTTTTGTGTGTTCAATTTCTTGAAGTCTGAATTCCATTTGTGCATTGCCGTGAAATGACTACTAGAAGTTTTTAGTTGTGAACTTTTCTATGTAATCTGGTTATTAGAGTCGGGCAGTTAACGTATTTTCCATATGTCTCACTGTTAGATTTGTGAATTTTATTGTTAATACTCTATATCGTCTCCCTCTGTTGTATAAGATGGATTTATAATAGTAGTAACATTAATTGTATTAAGGTCACATCAATACGTGGTTATTAAATTTAGTACCTCCTTTAGTCCTTATAGTCTCCTTAACTTTGCATAAAACCTCTCCTTGGTTGTTTCCTGGTTTTGTCATTCTCTGTCAACCCATCAGCAACTGCGACTAAAATTGCAGTCAATGATTGTATTAAAGTTAACAATGACTCACAATGATCATAAAGCTACTTATTATAATCATTCTGCTTATGCTGCCGCTAATAAGTAGAATAACTGAATAAGCGTCAGAACGGGCTACCACACATACTCTGCATTATTATGCATCTAAATCATATGGTGCTGATCTTTGCTACTGCTTATTTGGCTTAACAGTCTTCGATTGCTGCTTTACCAGTGATGTTCTTGAAGATGACGAGTACGCCCTCTACATGGGTGGTATTGTCCATAACCTATGCAACCACTTTCCCGAAGCTTCGTTCATGGTTTTCAACTTTAGGGATGGGGAATATGAAAGCCAGATAGAGGCCATACTCGAGGACTACGACATGACTGTGGTTAACTACCCCAACCATTTTGAGAACTGCCCCGTGCACACAATGGAGACGATCTATCACTATTTGAAGTCGAGTGAGACTTGGCTATCAGTTGGTCCTCAAAACGTGCTTTTATTGCATTGTGAGTTTGGGGGGTGGCCCATTTTGGCCTTCATGCTGGCCGCCCTATTGATATTCAGGAGGCAATACACCGGGGAACATAAAACATTAGATATTGTTTACAAGCAAGCACCACGTGAGCTTCTTGAATTGATGCTACCCTTAAATCCACTGCCTTCACAACTAAGATACCTGCAATATGTGTCCAGAAGAAATTTGGGTTCTGAATGGCCACCCCTTGACAGGGCACTTACATTAGAGTGTGTCATCATTAGACACATACCTGATATGGACGGGGAAGGAGGCTGTTGTCCTATATTTAGGATATATGGGCAAGATCCCTTCATGGCTGCTGATTGGACACCTAAGGTTCTATTTTCTACACCCAAAACACGCAATGTTGTCAGACAGTATAATCAGGTGAGGGGCTTTTATTCTTCCCTTTTTCTTAATTCGTGTTGTACCTAGGGGTTATTCAGTACGGCACAGCAGAAATTTTATCTCATGCCTTATGCCCTGCCACCGCCTCGCCACCAACGGACTGCCCCGGTTGCCCAAGGGAACTAGGGGGTCAATTAATTATTTAGATTAGGAGTATTTAGGGTAGAAATTTAATGTTTAGTCCTATTTGTGAATGATTTAGGCAAAAATTTTAAAGAGCCCCATATGCCCCACTAAAAAAATGAGTGGTTAGAATGGTGCCACACTATCCCATATGACTCATAAGGGAGTCATATGGGGCTCCATAAAACTACTCATGATTGAGGTATTAGTCCTATTTGTGCAATTAAGTTTCCATTTAGTTAGTCCTATTTAGAGCAATTACTATAAATATGCCACTGACCCCAACATTCCGGAGTTTAAAATCAAATCTTCTGTTATACTTTGAGAAAATTATCACTCATATTACTAGAACAACATGTATTTCCCATTATATGAGTACCTACTTGTTATTCCTATTATAATACCTGAATTGATGCCATGCATGGTTTTAAATTCTCCCTATGTAGACGGAATTGATATGAAAATTAGGGAAACCGTTCTGAGGCCAATAATATGCATCAAGCCAAATCTTGTATGTGATCTTCAATTTGGTCATACAGAATATTAAAAACATAAGTGGTCATATTCTTGGAAAACTTATGAGTTTTAGTAATATTAGGATATTTTTCCCTTATACTTTTTGTCTTCAATCCTTTATTTTTCACTTGTTCATAAAATATTTCTGATTTGCGGGCAATATATACTGCATTAGTATAAATGCCAAATGTCATTCTATAACCTTATGGAAAATGTCTGACATTTAATTGCAGGCAGATTGTGAGCTTGTTAAAATCGACATCCATTGTCACGTACAGGGTGATGTAGTGCTTGAGTGTATCACTTTACAAGACGATGAACTTGAATGTGAAGAGATGATGTTCCGTGCTGTTTTCAACACTGCGTTCATTAGATCAAACATTTTGATACTTAATCGTGATGAAATTGATATTCTCTGGGACGTGAAGGATCAGTTTCCTAAGGACTTCAGAGCAGAGGTATTTCTCCCGATCCCTCCTAGTCCTAGACTACTACTACTGAGTTTTGTGACATAGCAGGTGTCCTGTTTGACCAAGGCACTGCTTTTATTTTTTGTAGGGTACAACTGCTATAAATAATAAAACACGCTCTTTGCGGCCCTTAATAAAAGAAACTTTCCCAAGACACTTTTTATAAGACTTTATTGTGCAACTGTCATTATTTTTCTCTCCCATTGTTTCCCCCAGTAATCTGTGTCACTGTGTCAGTGTTTATTTTGTAGAGGTATTAATTTATGAGGCATCTCACGTAAAACATTGCCCCTATGCTTTTGCATGAATTCGTAGTTAATTAAATTTATATAAATGATTGTGACTATAAATTTAAATTAAATTAAATTCATGTCCCCTACCCTAACTATTTTGGAGGTGCAAATAATGAAATGATGATATTTTCAAAGAGCTCAAGAAAAATTAACTACTGTCCTTGGTTTAGGCAATTCGGTCAATTATTCCTTATTAATTATTATAAGACAACAGGGCTTATATATATTTATATTTTTGACAGTTGAACTTAATTTGTCGCATTTAAACTTGTTTTTGATCTATTTTTTAAAAAATAGTGAAAGATTACCCTACATTTGATCAAACATGACTCTCTATGAGATGGAGGGTGTATTATGTAGTGTTATATTTCATTATTTCTCCGAGCATTTGATTTTTTATCTCTTTTTCTTCAAGTGAAGATTCTGTTCTCGGAGATGGATTCTGTTTCTTGTTCCCTTGTAACACCTACTGCTTTACCTCATATTATTGAAGACAAAGGAGGAGGAGGTCTTCCTAGTGAGGCGTTTTCCAAAGTTAGAGAAATTTTCAGCAATGTGGATTGGTTGGACCCTAGAACTGACCTGGCTCTAGACATCCTTGAAATCAGAGCAGCTAACATTCTTCAAGAAAAGCTCGAAACTTTATCATCTCCCCATCCGGCTGCTAGAAGGAGTAGCGAACTCATGAAAAGCTGCTCTTCAAGTTTGACAAACAAAAGTTCCATTTGCCAGTCCCCACCAGCAACAAAAGAGGACTTTGAAACGAGTTTTCTTCAGTTAGCAAGAAAAATGAAGACCGGACTTGGCGGAACTTTCCAAGATGAAAATAAGAGAATGGACAGTGTGGTTAGCGATGTTGGGAAGGAGGGAGTAGTTCTGTCTGAGCCATATCAACAAAGAGTCACTGATAAGTCATGTTCCCCTCCACCTCAGCACCAGACTACAACGCCTTCCCTTTTTGTTGATGATGAACAAACCCTGGCCTATTCACAAGATCTAAGCACAAAAAAAAGTGATGATGCTAAGTCTCAAGCTCAATCAGAAGTCATTTCTTCTCAGGACGTAGCTCAAAATGAAGTCCCCAGTAGACGCTCTAAAGGTAATTCCTCTCAAGCTTCAAACTCGCCTCTTGCAAGGTACCATGCTGCATCTACAGTTGGAATTACAGCCCTGCTGCATGATCATGCTCCTGAATATAATAATAATAATAATCATATAAAAGAAAGCAATCCCTCAGTCACAATGTCCCCAAGAAATGCCATTTTAGCATCTGTTTCTAGTTTATTAAAACCTTCAGAGACATATATAAACCCCCTTGGCCCGCCTCCTCCACCACCACCATCTACCCATGTTGTTTCAGCTTCTCCTTCTGTACCCCCTTTAAGTTCGGGCTTAGTAGAATCCATCCGAACTTCCACTTCCAGACAATCTCCACCTCCACCACCTCCTCCCTGCCAAGCATTAGCCTATCCTCCACCCCCTCCTCCCTGCCAAGGATTAGCTCATCCTCCACAAGCACCTCCTGCCCACCCAGGATTAGCTCACTCCCCACCACCTCCTCCCCGCCCAGGATTAGCTCATCCTCCACCACCTCCACCTTGCCCAAGATTAGCTCATCCTCCATCACCACCACCACCTCCAGCTCCTTGCCCTCAACCACTCCCTTCATCATCACCACCGCCCCCTCCTCCTAAGTGCTCTGCAAATGCTCCACCTGTTCCACCTCCACCAATTCCTCTGAAGAATGGGACTAACGGGGTTGCAGCAAGTGGTGGTGGAAGTATACCTCCGCCTCCCATTGGAGCGGCGAAGGGGAAACTGCAACCACGCACTGGCGTTAAGAATCAAACACAGAGCAAAAGGACACCCTTGAAACCATACCACTGGTTGAAGTTAACAAGGGCAATGCAAGGAAGCCTATGGGCTGATGCTCAGAAACCTGAAGAAGCTTCCAAGTACTGACCTCATCTTCTTCCTCTTTTGTTTACATGAATATTTCTTTTCCAGTTTTGTATCAAGCCCTGATTATTTGCTTTCTGGCCAGAGCTCCTGAATTTGACATCTCTGAACTTGAGACTCTGTTCTCTGCAGCTGTTACAAATTTAGATCATGGAAGTGCTGGAAAGTCAAGCCATCGTGCTGCGGGATCCAAATCTGATAAAGTGCAGCTAGTTAGTAATAAAAAAATAATTCACTTTTCCATTAGTAACTATTTTGAAATAGTATCAAGAAAATTAACTGATGTTAGAAACAGGAGTTGTTTGAAACAGTTTTCCAGGTCCGTTTTGTGAAATAAAAAAGAACATACTCCGTAAAATATATTGATATGCAATTCCAGCTCCAGAGTTTGGTTCTTGGACCTACGCATTTGATGGTGCATATAATTATGAACATGTCACTCATACAGAAAAGTTAATTGCATCAGTTACCACCAATGAATTTGGTTGAGGTACAATTACAACCACAACATTAGCCCATTGCCGCAAAGGCTCCCACCTACGGTAGGGTAAGGGGCATGTGCGTAGCTAAGGGGGGCAACCCTGGCCCCGGTCCAGCCCAAATTTTAAAAATGTCTACATTTTAAGGTAAAAAATTCCGTGTAAATTTTTTTCAAAAAATATTCTTTGTACTGGCCCAGTGCCCTGGCTCCGCCCCTGGTAAGGGGGTCAAATGTACGCAGTCTTACCCCTGTACAAAGAGACTGTTTCCGAATGTCCCATGATGAAAATTGTGTCGAAAATTGCATGAATTGACTGCTGCTTCATAACAATTATTCATGTTAAAATATACTAGTATGAAGACTTACTGTATATCTGCTCTGTGAAGGCACAAATTTTCCTGTAGGGACAATTAGAAACAAAATAGAAGTTGTGTGGAATGAGAAGAATTGTATCTTGTAGTAATTAATTTTCATTAAAATATAAACGATATGTTTTTTTACCCTTCAATTTGCAGATTGACCTCCGAAGGGCATATAATTGCGAGATTATGCTCACGAAAGTTAAGATTCCTTTGTCAGATTTAATGGTCAGCTCGCTGAACCTTTACTCATTATTCACTGTTACATATATACACAGGCATGCACATATGCACATATACATACAGTTACACACACAGTACTAGCAGCCTTTCTTTATCTATATATACCTTCAGTTTTTTCTCGCATTACATTAATCAGTTTATGCTTAAGAACACTGTTTTTATGAATGTAAAAATACATGACTAAATGCTAATTACTGCTCTCATGCTATGGCCTTTTTGTCATTAGAGTTCCGTTCTTGCTTTAGACGACTCAGCATTGGATACAGATCAGGTTGATAATCTTATCAAATTTTGTCCAACAAAGGATGAAATGGAACTTCTTAAGGTGCGCTAAACTGTCTGAGTTGATTTTTCATTTTCTCCCTTGTTTGCTGCATAGCTTAACTGTGTGACACATTTTATCATCCGCCTCTCTTTATGTGCATTTTTATTTTCAGAATTACAAGGGAGAAAAGGATAAACTTGGAAAATGTGAGCAGGTAAGTTGTTCATATGGCAACTTAATGCTAGTAGATGATAACTCATTATTAGAAGGGAAAAGGTACAAATATACCCCTCTAGTATGAGTGAGAAAAAAATATATCCATGCTCTATTTTTTGGAACAAATTATACCCTTGACGTTTATGCGGAGGTGCATACATACCCCTGAACTTTTTAAAGGTGCAAAAATACTCCTCATGTTCCTATAAAGGAGCAAATTTACTCTTATTCATTTAAATAATTAAAATAAAATTTTAAAAATACTAAAAATAAATAATAAATTTGAAATTGAAAAAAAAATTAAGATTTCAAAATAATGATTTATTTTTAATTTTAAATTATAACTCTTTAATTTTAAATTGCAAAAATATTATTTTTCCATTGTAAATGAAGCACTTAAAATTCACAAATATAAATTTTAGTGTTGTTGCGATATTTTAAACACGTTGTTACATTTTTTGAAATAACATTCTTTGATTTTATTTAATCTTAATAGAATTAAATTCACTATTTTGTAATTTGGAACTATTTATCATCATACAAAATATGTAATTTTATAGTGCAAGGAATACAAAAAATTAACACTTTCCTGAAGAATCTTAAATATATATTAAAGTTTTGAAACAATATTTTATACTAACAATATTAATTTGTGAAATAAAAACAATAAAATAGAGAATTGGACAAAAGTAGATTTTTAGTTTTATTTTATTTTTCAATTTCAAATTTATAATTTATTTTTGGTGTTTTTTGAAATTTATTTTATCTATTTAAAGTCAATAAGGGTAAATTTGCTCTTTTATAGGAACATGTGGGGTATTCTTGCACCTTTTCAAAGTTCATGGGTATATATGCACTTCCACGTAAACTTCAGGGGTATATTTGTTCCAAAAAAATAAAACTAAGGTATATTTGTTCCCACACCTATACTAGAAGGGTATAGTTTTACCTTTTCCCATTATTAGAATGATCTCTTTATATAATAATATACGTAGTATGTATTATATTGTAGACTAATATAAGAATATAAAGACAAGTTAATATTTGGATACAGAGTGGAATTAGTTAGGTTTAAGCCATTTGGTGATATTAGTTAATATGTAGAGGTTGACTGTATAAATCTGTACATAGAGGAATAGTAAATTAATGAAATAATAATTCGGACACTAAGTAGAAAAGATAAACCTATACACCTATAATCAAAGGCTATCTTAAATTCTTAATTTTGCTTCGTAATAATCTCAATTATGCTGCTTTATCAAGTATAATTAACATAATTTTTGAAATGTTTGACAGTTTTTCTTAGAGCTGATGAAGGTTCCCAGGGTAGAATCTAAGCTCAGAGTCTTTTCATTCAAAATCCAATTCTGTTCTCAGGTCAGAAGAAGCAGTTTCTTGTTATGTGGTCTTTTTACTTTTAGCACGGACATTATACTTGCTGACTTTCAATATTTAATTTTCTTCAGGTTTCTGATCTTAGAAAAAATTTAAATACTGTGAACTCTACAGCTGAAGAGGCAGGATCTTACACCCTATTATTACCCATTACTTCTCTTAAATCAACTTCATACAGTCCCATGAATTCCTAAACTTAGTTTTTTTTCAGGTCAGGAATTCTGTCAAGCTGAAAAGAATTATGCAGACAATTCTTTCATTGGGTAATGCTTTGAATCATGGGACTGCAAGGGGTATGTACAATATTCTCCCTTTGGAGCTCTTACTTTGATTTACGGAGTCAAAGATTGTCAACTTAGATCGTTAACTATTCAAAAATTATATTCTCAATAACATGAAATTACTATTGAACAATTTGTTTCAATATATATTATTGAAACAATAATGCATTCTAGATTTTGTGTCTATTAAATCGTAAGTAATAGTGATAAAAGATTGACATTGAAGACCATCAATGTCAAAGTGGGAACTTAAGTTTTGGACGGAGTAATATCCATCACGTGCATGCAAAATTTATTGTAAAATTAATATTTAAAAAGGGATATGGAACAAATGTACCTTAAACTATATATGAGAGAACAAATATACCCCTCAACTTTCTTTTGGAACCACTAAAGTCAAAACTTATAAAGTTGGAATAAATATACCCTTGAACTATATATTAGAAAACATATATAACCCTTAACTGTTGACCATAAAGCGGTATAATGTTGTACTATATAGTCATCATCATCTTCATCATCATCATTACCCTAGTGCCGCAAAGGCTCCCACCTACGGTGGGGTAAGGGGGTCGGATGTACGCAGTCTTACCCCTCTTACCCCTATACTAAAGCATAGAGAGACTGTCTCCGAATGACCCATAGTGAAAATTGCGTCGAAAATTGCATAGACTGACTGTTACTTCATAACAAAGAAGCGCAGACAGTTTAGTGAGCCATTTTGCTTTATTTCATCATTTTCCATCATTTGCAATGGAGCCAAAGATTCATTATTTTTTGGCTTGATATTATGATGGAATAAAACAAAATGGCTCACTAAACTGTTTGCGCTTCTTTGTCATGAAGCAGCAGTCAGTCCATGCAATTTTGGACGGGATTTTCACTATGGGTCATCCGGAAACAGTCTCTCTGTGCTTTAGTACAGGGGTAAGACTGCGTACATCCGACCCCCCCTTACCCCACCGTAGGTGGGAGCCTTTGCGGCACTGGGGTAAATGAAAATGAAAATGAATTCCCAAGCCAAAAAATAGTGAGTCTTTGGCTCCATTGAAAATGATGGAAGGAAAGTTGTACTATATAGTACCGAAATATATTTGTTCTAACTTTACAATTTGTATTCATTTGACATGTAGTTCAAGAGCATACTTGTTCTTTTTGCCTATTTAAAAACAGAAATAGCAGATAAAAAAATTCTACATCCATAATAAGGATTTTTTAATTCCACAGTGTGTGTTCATCAATTTCTTCTACAACTATTTCAGCTATTAATCATGCTACACTCTTTAAAGATCTGTACTTTACTCTTTAGGTTCTGCTGTTGGATTTCGGTTGGATAGTCTTCTAAAGCTGACTGATACACGTGCTCGTAACAACAAAATGACTCTAATGCACTATCTGTGTAAGGTAAAATGCATTTCATGACATTTTTAATGTGTTAGAGTGATAGGATCCTGTGAATAATCTCAGCAAAAACAATAACACGCAAAACAGATTTGATAGCAAAGAGGAAAATAGTAGTTTATTGATGAAGCAAGCTTCGACTTAGGCAACAAGTATCGGGACTCTTAGGCAACCGGGACTTAGGCAACAGATAATCAAAATCAGTCTCCCCTATTACGCTACTCCCCTTTCCTATTTATAGCATTAAGTCCACGCAGGGACTAAAATAGCTAAAGTAATTACTAAACTGACCCCCCAGCCCCTTTATTTCTCCTTTCAAATACCCTATTAAAAATACTAAATAGGCAAATTCCTAACATTACTCCCCCTTAAATAACCACCTTGCCCTCAAGGTGGGTAATAAGACACAGCCTTGATCTTGAACTTCCCTTTCATCCTGGAACCTCTCCCTTCCCAGTACCTCTTGGTTTTCTGCTCTGGGAGCTTCATTTCTTTCACTTTCATCATCACATTTTCCACAGCCAACAGGGGCAGAAACTGGGTATAAAAATTCCCTGGAATTACACTTGAAGCCTCCTCCTTGTAACCAACCTCTTCATGTAAGGGTTCTAAGGCAGTCCTGCTATGAGGCGTTGCAGCTCTAAATGGATCCAGGAACAAACCAGTTTGAACCCTTATAAGAACTCCCATACCAACTTCACTGTGTAATCAATTTTCCTCTTCCCCTCAATTCCTTCCAACTTGGAATCCTTCAGCTGAATTCCCTCTCCATCCCATTTTCTGCCTTCCCAGTAGATAAGATAGCCCACACCATTCTCCTGTACAGTTTGTGACGTGGTCTTCAGAGATACCTCCATAGAGTTTGACTTAGGATCCCCTTGAATTGTCTGACTTATCCCCCGATGATGCCACTTTATGCTCTGCTTCTGAAAGTTAATCTCCACATCCCCTAATCCAGTCAACCAATCCATGCCAAGAACCAAGTCAGCTCCCTCCAACTCCAGCATGTAGAAATCTTGTTGAATGACAGCTCCCTGCAAGCTCAGAATGAGTTTTTCACACCTGCCCTTGTTGAAGACCCTATCACCATTCCCAAGCTGCACTTGGTAGCCAGCAATGGTCTGATAAGGGAGGGTTAACTGCTCTACCACTTTCTGGGATATGAAGTTGTGTGAGGCCCCACTATCAATTAGAACATCCACTAGCTGCTCTCCCTTAGCCCATTTTAGAATCCCCTGAACCCTAAAAGCCCTCATGGAGGGTTTTCCCTCTTGGTTTATGAAGGATAATTGCATGGACTTGGATTCCATGGTGATCTTTTCTTCTTCAGGGATTACCCTTTCTGAATTATCTAATTCCTCTTCTCCCTCAGAATCTTCCACTAAAATCAGTTTGTAATTTTTCATTTTGCATGAGTGCTCTCTTCCCCATCTTTCACCGCATTTGAAACAAAGCCCCTTCCGGCTTCTATCTTGGTATTCTTCTTGTGTCAGTTGTGGCCCTACTCTTCTTATGTCTGAGGGGTTTATTTCTGTTTCCTTCCTCCCGTCCTGAGTAAACCATGGTGGGTTCCCCCAATTTTCTTGTGCATTTCTGCCACCAGTTGGTGGCCCTGAACGCCCTGAACACCCCAAACTGGTTGTCTAAAGTGACGGGGTCCCTTGTCTTTACCCTCGCTTCTTTCCGCAGCTTTACCCTTAGTGTATATAGCATCATTCGTTTGCTCAATCGCTTGAGCCCTGTCCATGGTAGCAGCTAGAGATTTGCCATTGAAGAGTTTCAGTTCAGCCTTGATTTCATCCTTGAGGCCATTGATAAAAATGCCTCTCAGCATACCCCTGTCTATGTTCTTCTGTGTAGCTATTACCTTCTCAAACTCATCTCGATAGTCCTCCACAGTTCCAGTCTGTTTCAGGCTCAACATGGCTCCATAGGGATTCTGCAATAAGTTGGATTGGAACCTACGGATAATGATAGAAACCAAAATATCACAGTAGAAAAATAGAATATTATTGATGAAGATTTCAGAGATTGAACTGGATTACAATGGTGTAGACAGAAAAATAGAGAAGAACGGATACTGTTGAGACTGTTCGAGTCGTCTCCCACTCCCAAGCCTAATCCCAGATCCCAAATTTCTCCCCCCTCTTATTCTACTCCACTCCTATTTATAATAAAATTCCCTAATGGGCCGGCCCAAGCTAACAGTACCTAGCCCAAAACCCTTATTTATACAAAATCACACCCCTTAGTATAAATCTACTATTATTATTATTGGAAGTCCATGTCCCTATCATATCTCCCCCCTTGAAAAACCACCTTGTCCTCAAGGTGGGTGATAGGAAACAGCCTTGATCTTCAAATTCATCTTCATCCTGGCGCCTCTACCTTCCCGGTATCTCACTGATTTCAGAGCGAGGAGCTTCAGTACTTGACCCTTCATCTTTATGTTCTTCACCTTAGGATTTTCACGCCATCCACGTAATTCCTGCATCATACTGCGGCCATCCGCTTGGAGGATTATTCCTTCAGGTTGCTCTAAAACTTCCAGAGCATCAAAGGGAGGAATCACTGGCAGGCAATCATCTTGAGTTTGACCCTTCAGAAAATGTTTCTCTCCTCTCCACGAGATCGGTGATGTATCCGAGCTCAAAGGGGATCTGCCCAAGGAAATACATGATTTCTGAAATTTCAGCATTTGCACTCCAAGAGATTCCATACATAGGTGCTGAGATCCCACCTTTACTTCACCTTTCACAAGAGACTCGTCCGTTACTGCCCGTTCAGCATCTACTTCATGATTATAAACTAGGTTAATCCTGATATTAGTAACATTTTCATCCCATTGCCACTTATCTCTATCAGAAAGTACTCTTAAAGAGTTCCTAACCTCATCCCTATATTTTCCAGGAATGAATTTTGAGAACAAGAATTCATTGCTATCATTTGTCAAATGAGGTGTTTTCCTATCATCTTTGCATTTTCCAGCCAGAGGTATGAGAGCAAGAGAAATAACAGAACTCTGGAAATTTCCTATCATTTTGGCAGCAGCATACCGAACATCATGGATAGAAACTTGAGGCACTTCTGATGCCAGACGTTCTGCTTGTCCTCAATTTTTGCCAGGGTCACTAGGAAAACCATCCGACAGAAGCCTTGGCTCTGAAGATCTACAAGAGCCGTACTTGCCATTGAATAGCGGCAACTTAACCTCTCTCCTGACTCGACTAGGTCCTTGGTTCATGTATATCTCGCTTTTGTTGTCTGTTATCTGCGAACTGAGAACATCTCCTGTTGATTGCTTCACACTTGGAGGCGAACTGACATAAACTGCTGGCGTTGGAAGAATGTCAACTTTGTTCTGTTCTGAAGGTGTTGGTGCAGCCGGCTTCAACTCAGTTTTCAATTCCGGAGAAACTTGCGCAAGTTGAGAACTGGTGACTTCAGATTGCCATAAATTTGACGAATTAGGAGAAGTTGCTTGCATAAACCCATGAGAACTGGAAACTACTGTGAGCGACGAAGCTGAAGCAGTTTGCGATGACATCAGCGAACGGGAAACTTCTCTGGATAACGTCGTACTTGGTCCTGAACTGCTGACAGATGATGAAAATCGTGATTTCGAACTGTAAGACGAAGTTAGCGAAGAAGCCAGACAACTGGAAGGAAGTGCTCGCGACTGAGAAGAGACCTGTGCACCCAATGATGCCTGCGAACTACGCGAAGCAGTTCGTGATTGCGAACTAGGAAGAGCAACGGTCGAAGAAACCTGATTTTCAGTTGGCCGATGGCGTCTAGGAGGACTCCTCGCTCGGCCTCTAATTCTCCTGCGACGCTGTTTACGCAAATGGTGTATCATCTCGTCCAGCATCGTTTCCATCTTCGTCCAGGTGCTATTCTCCAGATTTGCGCGCAAACCAGAAGTGCGATTCTCCATATTTTTTTTTGCGTGAATGTCAATCGAAGCTTCCCAGGGCCTACTGCTTTGATACCAATGATAGAAACCAAAATATCACAGTAGAAAAATAGAATATTATTGATGAAGATTTCAGAGATTGAACTGGATTACAATGGCGTAGACAGAAAAATAGAGAAGAACGGATACTGTTGAGACTGTTCGAGTCGTCTCCCACTCCCAAGCCTAATCCCAGATCCCAAATTTCTCCCCCCTCTTATTCTACTCCACTCCTATTTATAATAAAATTCCCTAATGGGCTGGCCCAAGCTAACAGTACCTAGCCCAAAACCCTTATTTATACAATATCACACCCCTTAGTATAAATCTACTATTATTATTATTGGAAGTCCATGTCCCTATCAGATAACCGCATCCTTCAGATTTTCCCAGGTTATCTCCTCGGACTGTTGTTCCCACCACTGAAACCAATTCAAGGCCCTATCATCCATAGCCACCATTGAAACCTTAACCTTGTCTTCCTCCTCTGTTTTATTCAATCTAAAATAACGCTCCATTCTTACTAACCAGTTATAGGCCCCTACTCCATTAAACAATGGCAAATCCACCTTCCGACCAGTATGCACTCTGCGAGTAGGGATGGGAGAGTGTACAGAATTACCTCTCGAGTGCTCTGGGCTGTGTAGTGATCGTGATTGGTGGTGATGTGGTGATCGTGATCGACGGTGATGAGGGGAACAGTGATGCGGTGATCGCGATCTCCCTCTGGACGGGTCCCTCCTGTTCTGATAAGCTGCCATGGATGTCGCGATGTTGTTCTGGATTTGCTCATTCATCGCAACAGTGAGATTCGCGATGGTAGCTCTCATCTCCCGCTCAAAGGCTTCCATGCGTTGTTCCATTTTGGATCTCGTTTCCAAGAGGCGCGCCTTATATGGCGTTTTTTGACGCCTTTTGCGCCTCTGAGAGGCGCGCGCTTCTCACGCATCATGGATGTCTCTTTTGGCGATTGAGTCTCTAGTCTTCTCCCTTCTTCCTTCTGCGTTTGGTTTGCTTCCGAGTTCCCACGTCTGCGGTCCTGTTTCTTGTTCGCGTAGCAAGACTCGAAAGTCTGTTTCTTCCGCTACTTTCTCGCGTCACAGAGTAATCGCAGGTAAGTATTTATTTCTTCTCTTCTACAGTTTGTTCTCTTATACGTGTGATAGTTTACTAATTAAGTATGTATTATTTTATATTTTATTACCTTGAAATTCTAGTGTTACTACCTCTGTTGGTCTGTTCTAGATCATGCCGAGTAGGATACCTAAATATTTGATTTTATTTAACAAATATATAAGACAGATTTTATTATTAACAATTTTTTATATAACATCTTATTAATTATGTTTTGAAATTTTAAGATTGAGTTTTCTGACTTGACTCTTGCCAATGATGCCGTTTGATATTTATTTCTTGCTATTGTCTTAATAAATATTTGATTTGTCTTATGATGTATGTTAAGATTGTTTAATAGTTTGAAGTATTTTTGTGATGTTATCATTTTTTGAGATGAGTGCTTCATGTAGAAGACTAGAAATAGTATACTATATATCTTACCAAAGATATGATGTTAAGATCCGTGAGGCGCGCGCCTCGTCGCCTAGCGCCTCGCGCCTCGGGTAAATCAATGAAAACGCCTCGTGCCGCCTCGCGCCTTTTAAAACTAAGGCAGTCGCTACCTCACAACGTTGCTGAAACGAGAAACGCTACTGCCGTCGCACTTCACTTGTGATCCCCAGGAGCGATTGCTCTGATACCATTGATAGGATCCTGTGAATAATCTCAGCAAAAACAATAACACGCAAAACAGATTTGATAGCAAAGAGGGAAATAGTAGTTTATTGATGAAGCAAGCTTCGACTTAGGCAACAAGTATCGGGACTCTTAGGCAACCGGGACTTAGGCAACAGATAATCGAAATCAGTCTCCCCTATTACGCTACTCCCCTTTCCTATTTATAGCATTTAAGTCCACGCAGGGACTAAAATAGCTAAAGTAATTACTAAACTGACCCCAGCCCCTTTATTTCTCCTTTCAAATACCCTATTAAAAATACTAAATAGGCAGATTCCTAACATAGACTTTTGATTTTTGACCCTTTTTCATTATTGTTTTTGATGTGTCATACATTTTGATCAATTCGGCACCCATTTTACGCGGTGAAAGATTTTAAGTTCAAGTCCACAATAGATACTGCCAACGTACTATTTGAGAATTATACTACTAGATCCGCCCATGCCCACCCCCCAAAAAAGGAATCATTCTTTTACATTCTCTGTTACTCTTTTTCACATTGAAAAGTGTCTCTGTAGGTTCTTGGTCATAAGCTACCAGAAGTATTGGATTTTCATAATGACCTTGTCAGCTTAGAGGCTGCAACGAAGGTGTGCACTCTGCCGTTCTTTTTGGACATCCCATTTTCGAATTGAACAGTCTCCATGGCTGTGCATATAAATATGTGGTCAACTGATTTTTAAATATGCAGATACAACTAAAGTATTTGGCAGAGGAAATGCAAGCTATCAGCAAGGGGGTGGAGAAAATACAACAGGAACTCACTGCATCAGAAAGTGATGGTCCTGTGTCCGAGAGTTTCTGCACTGTATGCATTGTTATGCTCTTTATTGTTCTATACTTGGTTGTCATGTACAATTATAGTTGAAAACGTTTACAGAAAAAAAATGTTATTGACATAACATGGGGTGGGATGGGGCTAGATTAGCCCCTGACATATTTCTGTTACTGTTGCACAGGGAAAAAGTTTATTTAGGAAAGTGACAGAATGTCATGTTTTAAAATCTAAATATGGCTAAAATGAACAGAATGGACTAATGAGTTTTCTGGTACATATTTTCTTATCATCTCAGTGCTTATAAAATAAAGAGTTCCCTTTGAGTTTACAAATTGTTAAGTCATCCCAGTATCCCACACATTGATAGGGAGCGGGAAGAGCATGGGGCGGGACCGGGCTTGGGCCCACTTCTGTGGGTCGGGTTAGGGCTGTCATTAGAGTTTATTTATTATTATTAAGTTAATGCTATGTTTTACTTTGGGCATATTATTAGTAGAGTACTTAGTAGAGTTATTATGGGCTTAATTAGGATTTAATTAATTTGGGCTTGATTAGGGTTTCTCTTATAAGGCTATTTATACCCCTTGCCCCAGGGTTCATTCTATCGTATCTTGGAATAAAATTGGTTTAAGCCTTTTGGCTCCGAGCAACGGTATTTTTATCGTTGATTATCTGGGCAACGGTTTACCCCGTTGATTTTAGTTTTCTGTTACACAACAATTGGTCTGACCTGCCATATCCCGTCCCGCCAGGATGATGAGATCTCAGATCGACCGCTTGACAGAGATGGTCGCCAAGCAAACTCGGATGAATCAAACCCTAGAGGAGCACGGCATGCGTCTGGCAGAGATTGCCGCATCCCTGGCAGCGCTTACCAAGGCGCTAATTCCTCCGGTCACAACGGAAACAAGCCTGGACGCGGTTGGTAACCCCACCGTATCTGCGTACAACAACGGCATACAGTCGTGCAACGTCACTTCCTCCTTGGCTGCATTTACAGAGGCTCTCGCGCCGCCAGCGGTGGAGGAGCATTCAACGGCGGTGGCTTCATTTGACGCGGCAACAACATCCTCTTTCGGAATTGGACTGTGCAGCACCTTTCTCACGATGTTGCCCTCGTTTAACGGAGAAGAATCGATCAGCTGGTGATGGATCGTCGTAGCAGGGGTGACCGGAATCCACCGAGAATAAGAAAGAAGGGAGAGGGTGAACTGATCGGAAAGTGCATATAGTAATTTCGGCAGTATAACAGTATAGAATTCAGAATGCGAATCAATTAAGCCTCCTTCCACAAGTTGGAAGATGATATTTATACTAAGGAGAAAAGGAAATACTTGGTGCCCAAGTAAAAGATGTTAGTCTAATAGGAGAGGGACACGTGTAAAGCTATTCTAACAAACTAACAGCCTGATTCAATGGGGAGCAGCCACGTGTAGAGCTGATTGGAGAGAGAGTCTTCAATAGCTGGTTTATTGGAGTTTGCTCCTAACAGAATTGCTACCTGAAATCTCGTGTGGTTAAGCGTGGGTAACTGAGAATATTCCCTGGTGACGTGGCGACATCTCCTTGTGAAGTAGATCCTTGCGGATTTCGTCTAATTCCACGACACCTTATTCGGACCTTGGGGATTACTGAGGTCGATATCTGGGAGCTCAGGCCCGGGATGAGAGGACTCGCCCCTTTGTCTCATGTTCCCGCCTTCTGAGGTAGTTGATTGCCTGGTGCTTGATTACTGTTGACCAAGTGTTTGACTTTTGGGGTCAGACCTGGTATCGACCTCGAGTACATCGAGGTCGGGCTCATAAACTTGCCGAGTTCGGTTGATTCCTGAGCCTGTTGTTTTCCCGACCTCGGGGTCGGGGTCGGCTGACTTCGTCATCCGTTGAGACTGGCTGATTTTTGAGCTTGGTGTTTTCCCGACCTTGGCGGTCGGGGGTCGGGTCAGTCTTAGATGTGGACTTGGTATTTTTGTGCCCTTGATGGACCCGTAGTGTTTTACACCGGCGATTGTGATACCCCTGGGTGTGTGGGAATATACTCCATCATGAGTCCCCCACTCTCCGAAGCGAAAGTGAAACTTGAGGTGAGAGAGAGTAAATCTTCAATTTCCTGGGCATGTTCGCCCGGCAGGCGTGCTGCTTTTCCATGGTCATGACAAAGGGGTACCTCATTAAAAACTCCGCTGAGGAAAAACCCTGTGGGAAAAAATCCTAACGGTGGAAAAAGAGTATACTCCGCTTTGCTATGAAGTCCGGAGAGGAAAGCGACGCCCTGCTGCAGAGAAGTCCGAGCTCGAGCTCCGCGTGTTCCGCGTTCCAAACCTGCCTCATGGGTTAGTTGGTACATCTACGGCCCTGACCGTGGGTTGATAAAATTTTTGAAAATTTTTTGTAAGGAATTCTAATTTATATGCGTAGCTTGTTTTTCGAAGATATACCTGTTTTGGTGCTGACCCCAAGGTGACTGCGTTGTTCTGAGCTTGTTGTAGTCTTGTTTTTGTTATTTTTTGATTTCTTTCCCGAGTCCCCCACTTACCAGTCCTCCACTTTTGTGAACATAGAATATTTTCTAAGTGCGGAAGAGTATGAGTTTGAGGGGGACGAGGCAGTTGCATTTATCGCTTGGTGGACTTAGGAGAATTTGTGGCGTGTAGTAACGCTGATGTGTACAAATAGGAATCTTTACACATTCCTTTTGCAACATTTTGAATTAATAGCCGTTTCTCAGCATTTAATGTGAGGGATGGCGTTTGAAGTGATTGTACGCCTTTTTGAAAAAACGTTTGAGTTTTTTGGGCGGTTGGAGAGTAGTGCGCCACGTGTAGGCTTCTTGTTCATTTTTGAAGGGAAGTATAAAAGGCGAAAGCTTTCATCTTTCTCCTTTGCGCTTTCTTTTGCATTCAAGTTTTCAAAGTTTTCAAGCATTTAAAGAGCTCGTCTTCTCTGGTCATTGCTTCCGAAGTTTCAGCTCTCTCCGTCAACTCCCCTAACCAGGTTAGTCTCCGACTCTGTTTGTTCGTTCTTCGCCTGTCGTAGTTTGGCCGGAAGAAACCCGGAATAAGGGTTTTTTCCGTCAAATCTGGCTCTGTGAACAATGGGGGGTTTACAGTCCCCCATTCTTGATAAGGTTGGCACCTCCGGACTCGGAATCGCATGCTGATGCCGATTCGAGTGTTTAATTTTTGTTTGGGGGTCGGATTATTGGTTCTCAACCTCGACTTTGATTTTCTGCATGTACGTGTGTTTTTCTGCAGATTCCGAAAATGTCTTCTGAAGGCGCTTCTGGTAACGCTGGAGATAATGCTGGCCCTCCACGGGATGTTGAAGGAGTTCCCGTGGTGTTTGATGTGCCTCCCATCCGCTTTATTAGGAAGCGGAGAAGTAGCAAGAAGAAGTCTGGGAATGCGGTGGGCACCCTTACGAAGAACGGTCCTCTCATGGACGTGTGTGCGCTTACTGACGCTGAGTGGGCCGAAGCCAGGCGCATGGCCGGTCCCACTGTTGATATCGTGAGGCCTGAGGCGGAGAGCTTGGCGTCCTCTTGCCCTTCTGGCTTCTTCGCGGTTCATCTGGACGCGATGGATCACGGGTTTCGCTTTCCGCTGCACCCGTTCTTCGTGGAGTATCTCAACTGGGTTTGGAGGCTACCATTGGCCTCTTCAGGCACTTGTTTCAAATTGGGCTTAACAGCTCTCTGGAGAATCAAGGCTACGCCCTTATCTCCCAACAGTCCGGCAGGAGTGGGTTCTACCACACCCCGTCGTCTCAACATGGGTGGAAGCACAGGTTTGTGTTTGTCTGCACTGACAGGAAGGGGGGATCTTCTTTCACTGCCCCAGGATCCCTGTCGTTCAACATGCATGACGCTGGTGCCCTGGGTGAATTTGCTGATGATGTGGGCACCTACGTTGGGTATGGTGACCTGGACATCACAACTTTCCTGCCCGAGGAGAAGCTGAAGAACTTGGGCTTCGTCTTTTATACCGAGGTTCCTGATGAAGACCAAAGGGCTGCTATTGGTGCCAAGCCTCAAGGTTAAGAGTGTGGCATTCCTCCGTTGTGTGGCCATGGAATCTGTGGAACTTGCAGTAGGGGCCTAACTTGTCCCCCTGCTGGATTTCGTTGATTCGTGGGTCCCGAACCACCAAACCTTCCTGATCAGCTGGCTCCAGAATATGGCTGACGGAATGGGTCAGCGGGGTCAGGACCTCGGGCGCCATCAACTTGGGGCCGTTCCAGGGGCGTCTGGCTCTGAAGTTGCCCTTGGAACGATGTCTGTCACTGTCATCACGGGGCTTTTCCTCCCGCAGTTGCTTTGGCTTATCCTGCAGCTTCTGTTCCTGCTTTTGTGGTTTGACAGCATTCTCCTGTGCTTTTTTGCGGCTGTGCACTTCCTCCGCTAAGGCATAATTTTGCCCGCGGTGAAGCGCCCGCTGATAGTCCCATGGGGGATCAATGATAAGGCTCCTTGAGAAGCCACCAGTCCACAGGACCTCTTAGAGCATAGCTAGACGAGTGTTGTCGTCAGCCCCATAGACCTCGGAGGTCTCTTCATTCCACCGTTCCAGAAATTTGCCCAGTGTGGTATAGGGGCCCCATAGAGTTGAATGTTGGGCCCGTTATACTTCGGGGGTATAGGGGCCTGAATGATCCGTGTGGTAAAGGGGGTTGCAGTCCTTACCCTTACCGTAGTAGGCTCCTGGTTGACCTGAGCCTGGAGCAGCTGGACCTGGAGCGCTAGCGCTTCCAGCTGAGCATCATGCACCGTATGCTGGGGAGGCGGTGGCGGTAGCGCTGTAACAGCTGCAGCCCACAGCTCATTGACCTGTTGGGTCAGGAGGCGGATCTGCTCTTCCCGCGGATCCACCTGGCTTTGGCGCCGTGGTGGAGATTCAACCTTCCGCCTTGGCGGTGATAGCCTTGGCTGGTGCAGGGGCTGCTGATGTTGTTGTTGGCGCAATGGTGAAGCGCGTTGTTGCCTTGGGGGAGAAGGCATCTGCTGGTGGTGGTGGGGGGGGGGGGGGCGAATCTGGGGGGATGATTTCCCCCTAGCCTCTCCAAAGCTGGCGTACGCTCTGGAGTCCTTGTCCTCGGCTGTCGCTGCTGCTGTTGCCGGGGGATGTCGAGAACTGGGAAATTTGCCTTGTTAATCCCTCGTATGTTGACAGACAGACGCTGATTCGCCATGGATCTGTCCCCCAATCTGGAGAAGATGGGACGCCTTCCCACCTCAATCCAGGGATTGGGGTTGTCATCCTGTTGCAGGGAGGGGGACTGCGAGGAGTCCTCAGTGGTGACAGCATAGACACCCTCATCATTGGCACAACCGTAATCAACACGGCGTGCAGTGTACCTGGACGGTAGCGTGGGAGGTGGCGGTGGCGCTATTCTCTGTGTCGCCGCAGCGGGACGAGAAGTTCCCGTCTGCCGGGCGAGAGGCAGAACTTTCACAGGTGCTGCGTGAGCCACCTGACGGACGAGGGAGAGTTGATCCCCGGAGTCGCCCTTTGGCGGGGGGAGATTGGTAGACCATCTGTGTTGGTCTCTCCACCACCAGAAGGGCGTCAATAGAGCCCACTCTCAGAGACCGAGATCTGGAGTTCGCCGGTGAGATATGCCTGGTAGCCTGGGGAGCCACAGTAGCTGCATGCTGGGATTGCAGTGTGGGGAGCACCTGCTGTAATCCGGTGATGAGGGCGCCAACCGCTGCAGAGGGATCCACCATCAGAAGACTCTGGAATTGCGGGATCATCTGTGCGGGCGGCATTGCCGCTGCATCACGATTGAGCGAGATCTGCTGGCGCAGATCTAGGGAAGCACGCTGAATCTGACTGCGTAGATCTGCAGAAGTTCCAGCAACTTGTTTTCCCTTGATGACCCTCCTATCGCCAGAAGTAGCAGTAGCTTCCAATGAGGGCTCTCCGCCTGTGCGACGGCGGCAGCAGCACGTCGACTTCTCAGGGTTTTCTCTCCAGCCATTGTTGCAGAAACGTTTGGTATAGTTCTGAAGAAAATCGAGAGGATCTGACTTGTTCACAGTTCATCTCTCAATGAAAGCACCAAAAATGATGGATCGTCGGATCGGGGGTGGCCGGAATCCACCGAGAATAAGAGAGACGGGAGAGGGTGAACTGATCGGAAAGTGCAGATAGTAATTTCGGCAGTATAACAGTATAGAATTCAGAATGCGAATCAATTAAGCCTCCTTCCACAAGTTGGAAGATGATATTTATACTTAGGAGAAAAGGAAATACTTGGTGCCCAAGTAAAAGATGCTAGTCTAATAGGAGAGGGACACGTGTAAAGCTATTCTAACAAACTAACAGCCTGATTCAATGGGGAGCAGCCACGTGTAGAGCTTATTGGAGAGAGAGTCTTCAATAGCTGGCTGATTGGAGTTTGCTCCTAACAGAATTGCTGTCAGAAATCTCTGTGAGAATATTCTCTGGTGACGTGGCGACATCTCCTTGTGAAGTAGATCCTTTCGGATTTCGTCTAAGTCCACGGCACCTTATTCAGACCTTGGGGATTACTGAGGTCGATATCTGGGAGCTCAGGCTCGGGATGAGAGGACTCGCCCCTTTGTCTCATGTTCCCGCCTTCTGAGGTAGTTGACTGCCTGGTGCTTGATTACTGTTGACCAAGTGTTTGACTTCCGGGGTCAAACCTGGTATCGACCTCGAGTACATCGAGGTCGGGCTCATAAACTTGCCGAGTTCGGTTGATTCCTAAGCCTGATGTTTTCCCGACCTCGGGGTCGGGGTCGGCCGACTTCGTCATCCGTTGAGACTGGCTGATTTCTGAGCTTGGTGTTTTCCCGACCTTGGCGGTCGGGAGTCGGGGTCAGTCTTAGATGTGGACTTGGTATTTTTGTGCCCTTGATGGACCCGTAATGTTTTCCACCGGCGATTGTGATACCCCTGGGGTGTGTGGGAATATACTCCATCAGCTGGGTTGATAGGGCTGATCAACAGTTCGAATTTAAGTGTACTCCGCCGAGAAAGAAGGTGGCAGCCGTTGTAGTTGCGATGGAAGGGTCAGCCTTATATTGGTTGACCTGATTACGGGCACGAAAGCCAGTCTAGTCATGTCATGGGATGAGCTTACAGAGGCATTGGTGGCTCGTTTTGACTCACGGTTAAAGGGCAATTGCTTTAAACGGCTGCCCGGAGGCAAGCAGACAGGGCCTGAGGAGGAGTACATTTCAATTTTTCCTAAAGATACTGGGCAGCCCCCGGGGACAAATGTGAGCCGGTTTCCGGATTTCAACCTTGAGGATAAGGTTATTTTGAAGGAGGATGGATTGATAGAGAGCGGGAAGAGCATGGGGCGGGACCGGGCTTGGGCCCACTTCCGTGGGCCGGGTTAGGGCTGTCATTAGAGTTTATTTATTATTATTAAGTTAATGCTATGTTTTACTTTGGGCCTATTATTAGTAGAGTACTTAGTAGAGTTATTATGGGCTTAATTAGGATTTAATTAATTTGGGCTTGATTAGGGTTTCTCTTAGAAGGCTATTTATACTCCTTACCAGGGTTCATTCTATCGTATCTTGGAATAAAATTGGTTTAAGCCTTTTGGCTCTGGGCAACGGTATTTTTATCGTTGATTATCTGGGCAACGATTTACCCCGTTGTTTTTAGTTTTCTGTTACACAACACACATGCCAAGTAAAGGCTTTAGATACAAATCAATATATAAGATCTTAGTCTACTCCTCATGTCAAGTTAACCTTTTAGTATATGACCTCAGGTTTTAACATTGTATCAAAGCAAACTCGATCCATAGCTGCCTTATGGAAATTAAAAAATGATGATGATTATAACTAACTACCGAATAATCAGGAACAAAACTGATAAAAAAACTAATGAATAATGACATCATTTAGACGTGTGTCTAATCGTGAGGGGTGTTAAGGTAATAACGTACTCCCTCCGTCCCGCAAAATAGTTCCCGGTTTCCTCTTTGGGCCGTCCCAAAAAATAGTTCTCATTTCCCTTTTTGGAAAGTTTTGTGTGGCTACCATTCATTTACCTTTTTCTTACTCAACCACAACTATACATTTCCACTTTATTCCCACTTTCTTAAATTTCGATCCAAATCCTAGTAGGAACTATTTTATGGGACGGAGGGAGTACTACGTAATATATAACATGTATTACCCCTCCTGTTGAGCTTTTAGAATGATAACCCAGGTCTTAATACAATTTTTTGGGGGAAAGTATATTAAAAAATAAATAAATTGCTATATGTGTAGTATACCTACTAAACATTCATTTCTTCCACTTACCTTGCTCTAAAATATCTCAGACATTGAAGAAATTTCTTGGCTATGCTGAAGGTGAAGTGAGATCTCTGGCTACATTGTATTCTGTAGTGGTAATGACTATACATTAGTGGTTTTATTTTATTATATCAGAATAGTTTATTCCTTTCTTTTCTTGTTGTTGCCTTTGGGTGTTGGATAATGAACACTAAATCTCATCTGTATCTTTTAGGGAAGAAATGCTGATGCTTTGGCCAGCTATTTCGGAGAAGATCCTACCCGTTGCCCATTTGAACAAGGTACCTTCAAAAAAGAGTAATAAAAAGTTATATCATTTTCCTTTGCATATACAGTAGTAATAAAGCAAAACACAAAAAAAGGACTTGGCATCCCCCCCGTTTCATGCTCTAGAATTCCCACATGACACCTCCCAGACTCTGCCATGACATTAGGGCACAGTATGCAACCTAGGACACTGGATATTCTAGCTGAAAGCTTCTGCACAGTGAGGAATGGGTATGCACATTCATGGTTGGGTGGGGTGGGGGGTGTCAAATACTGCACTAATGTGTATCTGTTCCTAAGATCTCTATAGCTAAAAAGAAATAAATCTATGTATATGTGCATGAGATTCCACTGCATTCCATTCAAACCTGAGTGAATGTGTGTTTGTGTGTAGTGGTATCAACTCTGCTCAATTTTGTGAGGATGTTTAAAAAAGCTCACGAGGAAAACTGCAAGCAACTTGAATTTGAAAGGAAGAAAGCTGAAAAGGAAGCGGGAAACGGTAATTCGAAACTGAACAGTTCAAACAAACATTCGGGGAATGACAAGATGAAGACCAGTACTAATTCCTCCATACGCACTACCACCACAGAACAACATAAAATACAAACAGTGTAGAGCACGCATTTTTGTTGGTTGTTTTGAGTCCATTCTTCTTCTAGCTACTGGAAGCAAAGATCTCAACAACTTAGAACAAACAATCTTATGGGGTAAAATATATATTACAAAAGATATGCATTATGGTGGGTGACTTCAAAAGAGATCACAGGCAAACTTGAAAAAAGAGAGTTTTCAAATGGTATGCCTTCTTAACCATCCATATTGTGGTTACAACAACAACATCATCCAAGGCTTAGTCCCAAAAGATATTGGGGTCGGCTAACATGAATCGATACATGATATCACCACCAAAACGAAAAGAAACGAAATAAAGATAAAAAAGATAAGCTATTATAAAAAGATGATATGTGGTATAAAAAGAGATGAATATACATAAAAATGATAAAATAAAAAGGATACAAATAATGCTTATATATATAAGGATAAAAAACAAGGAAAAAAGATTTGGGGAAAAGATGATACGAGATCACTCCTCCACACGAATACCCGCCCTCCACTTATATTATTAAAATTGGTTTATACGGAGTATAAAATAAGGACTTTCTCATTATTCCGTACTCCTAGATTTCTCGTTTGATTGTTTACCCCCTTTCCATTCTTCTAAGAGTAAGGCTATGGACATGAAAGACTCAGAAGAAAGGTTCAGCGAACCCAGAAATCTCCCTTTTAAAGAATGTGAGTGGCGTAGCTCGCACATCCTTTCTCACTAAAGTCATTTCTGTCAAATCCATATCGTCCACATGCTCCACAATCGTTTTCAAAATACATACCTAGATGCATAATGCTTCTTATGATCAGACAGGGAGGACTTTAGAGCCTGTTTGGCAAGACCTGAAATGGATGAAAAAAGTATTTAGTCTGCTGCAGTTGTGATTGAAATAGCTGAATTGACTGAATTCGATTAAACAAAGGTTAACTAAATAAAGGAAGGCTGAAGTGACTTTTTTTATTAATTTCAAAATTTCAGTCATTCCGGAAAAAAAGAGTGTAAATTTTGTAGTTTTTCTCTCATTATCAGCAGCCATAAATAAATAAGTTGGTTTTTATCTAACTCTGGTTGTTGTATCTTTAATTGATGCTTGGGAGCCATCAGATCAGCACCGCTGACTGGTATGAAGGTTGTATGAATCCCAAGTTCCTTTGCTTGTGGCTTTGTACAATCCAGAGGGTCGGGATGCTATGATTCTAGCCAAGCACAGGACCCAAACTCAGTGGCAAATAGTTATAAGTTGAGTGTCCCGACCTGTTACAACCTCTGTCTGGATTGAATGCATCAAGAATGTATTTTCTCTGCTACAGATTTGGAAAGCGGTGTTGGCTGTCGTGCAAACGCATTGTGGTTTCAACGGATTCATCATTGTAAATGCTTTCTCTAATTTTTGTTGAAAATGAAATACTCTTCATTTACATTTCATTTGTGCACTTTAAACCGTCAAGCGTTGAATTTGAAGCGTAAATAATGTCCAAGCTGGTGCCTCACATCTCAATTCATGCATTCTTACATGATCACCCTGATGTTGTATCAACTTCACGATTGGTCATGTATTTTACTTTGATCACTTTTTTGTACATTATATTATTATTCTTTTTTCCCACATATGCTCCTTTTATCGATATTTTGGGCGCTTAAATTCACAATAGAGGTTCTGATAACTTGGTTACAAGGACCACAAATGATCGAAAACAATAATTAATCTGATGTTCCAACTTTGAATGCGTTTAAATTATTATTATTATTGTTGTTGTTGTTGTCATTATTATTATTATTGTTATTATTATTGTTATTATTATTAATGTTATTATTATTGTTGTTATTACTATTATTGTTATTAATATTATTATCATAATAATATTAATGATAATAATAATAAGTATTATTATTATTGTTATTATTATTGTTATTGTTATTATTGTTATTACTATTATTGTTATTAATATTATTATTGATGGAGTATATGGGTCCAGACCCCATGACCCACATACTCAGAAGACTAAGAGGAGCACAACTGTCATCCAGTGGGCCCTCCGTCGGCCAAATGACACCCCATCGGCCGGAGAAGAGTCAACTCGGAATATGCTCCAGAAGCCAAGGAGAAGACTTGTCCTCCGTCGGTCGTGTCTCCATCGGCCGAGTGTCTCCATCGGTCGAGTGTCTCCGTCGGCCGAGCCTCTCCGTCGGCCATGTCTCTGTCGACCAAGCGTCTCCGTCGGCCGGAAGGAACTTACAGAACTAGACTTCTAATGTTTTGGAAAAGCATTTTGAAAATTCCCTTGAAAAAAAAACTTTAAACAAAATGCCCCCCCAAAAAAACCATTGCTCTAATACCAACTTGTAACACCCCCAAATTTCCCACCCAAAAACGCTTTGAAATAATACTTTATTATTAATTTTATTTGAAAACATCATAGTTGTGCAGCGGAAAATTCAAAGGGAAATAGAGGCGTTTTCGCCACACTCGGTTCTAACCTAACCGAGTGCACAGGCTAATCACCTCCAAAACAATTTAAGCTCCAAAATAATTATTCACTAAAGATCTTGAAAGTATAAGTTACAATGATTTACTAATTAGGTGTTCTAGCGGAATCTCTCTTGAATCAACATCGTCATCAAATAGATACTCAGGTCTTATCTCCTGCACAAATAAAGTACAGAAAGAAAAGAAAAGCAAAGAGACAAAAATTAGCCGGAAATGCTAAGTAAGTCCCACCCAACCCCGTAAAATAATCAGGTTTAGTACATATATACGTTTTTGTAAAACCATTCGGAGGAAAAATCTTTTCAAAACATTCATATCAATCATAAGTAAAACAATATTTATAATAAATTCTCATAACTTAATTCATATGTAAAATAATAATATTCCAAATCATAATAATTCCAATCATTAGAAAATGTAATAAAAATTCTCATAAATATTCTAAAGCATATATCATATACACAACTCCAAATATCCATCTCAAAACTCACTTAAGCACTTTATCAAAATCCTTAAAAACACATAATCAATGTCCACAAATATGTTTTCCAAACCAATATCACAAGTATTTGTACTTTAGAATTTCACAATTAATAAAATGATTAAGTATTTAGTCAACTCTTTAACCCAACTCTTTAAGAGTAAAATACCAAAACATTTGATTTACCTCAAAATAGCTTTATAGCTAATTCTCCTAGTTCATTTAGAAGGGCGGTGGTCAAGCGTTGTCTCGATTCTTGAGCCCAGTGATCCGTTGTTTTGTACGGTCACTCCGATCTGCTCTCGGTACCACATCTCCTTTATTAGAATCTAGACTTCTACCTTAAGTGTGCACACCCCCTAAAGGGATTCCAAGCCCTCTGAGTAGTATGAAGTCTAAGTAGTTCTGACGTCAACGTCTCCCTACTCCAAATGGGATATACTCCCTAAGTTCTAGGTTCAAAGACCCTTAAGAGAATAGGTACTACTACTGCTCTAATAAAAAGGGATCTGATGCCCAGTTGTTCGGGGTGGTTACCGAACCCTCCAAAATTCATTTAATTTGTTTCACACCTCTCAATTCATGTAGTAGTAGTCCTAATCCTCCTTCACCATTAACGGACGTGAAGGTGGCCCGACACCTGCGGATTTCTCCCGCGGTGCCCCAATTATGAAAATAGTCTTTTATCTTCTCTTTTCAAAACTCAATATTTATGTCTTATAGACATTAGTGTCACCATTAAAAATATTAACTTTCCTTTGTTTTCTCAAATTCCAATCAAAAGTTCATATCTTTCAAAATACGCTAAAATTCCCATATGTTTTCTCAAAATCCAATTTACTCACAACACCACCAAAATATTCACCATTAGAAAAATCTCCCAAAAATCATGTACAATAACTTGTATCAAAATCCCATCAATATATCAAGTACAAACAACTTCAATTTACTCAAATTTAATACACACAATACACTAATCGAATTGTACATTAAAACATTCAAAATAATTACGAGGCAAAAGGTATAATTTTGGTTGCAATGAAACTTACCTCAAATCGCGATAAGTCTTAACCGAAGCTTCTATATCGATCTTCTCCAAATTCACCTTCTAAGAATATTAAAATTATAAATCAATAAATAATATAAGTCCTAACCGAAGCTACCTCTTACCCAATTTATGGTGTAATCATCCTAAATTCCATAATTCGTATTTATCAATTTGATTCACTTAATTGTTTCAATAATAATCAACTCGTGTATTTTGTTAATCAATATTGTCCAATTTTATGCGGCCTGAATAATTAGTCTAATTAGCCATTTATTCATTCTTTTCCTTATTAATCCAGCAACCCAAAGTCAATGCTCAGACCAATCAATTAGATAAAATAGGCCCAACCGTAAACACTTAACGTAATACGGAGTATAGAAGATACTGTAGTACAGTACATACGATTCGTTTTCTTCTCCAAAGAGTACCTGCGAAAAGATACTCCAGTGGCAGCAACTTACACAGGGGGGAGGGGGTCCGACGCTGGCGTTCACCATGTTTTCTCCAGCTCGGCAATCTCCTCCAGCTCACAGACGTAAATTAAAGAAGCTTCGATACAGACGGTCCGGCGACACAGTAACATGGTCCCTCCTCTTCGGGCGCATGAGCTCCTCTTCCGGCGTTCGTTGTCTCGGCGGTCTGCAACGGTTCTGCGGAGATTATTCTGATTTGAAGACGACGGCGTTGCTTAGGTCGTCCTGCCCTTCCTCTTTCGTTCTCGGTTCTGTTTTGTTTCGCGCAGGCCGTAGGTACCCTGATTCGTCTCCGACGGTTTCAGTCAGTCTTCTCCGGTGAGCTGTTATGTTGGGCGGCAACGACGAGCCGACGAGGGTTTTAGGGTTCGAAGGTGTTTCTACACAAGTTTGTAAACTATATATATCAACAGCGACGATTCTAGAATTTCCGTTTCATATGTTACAAATCTTTTCCATTTATTTTCATTACCAATGTTTCCATAATTATACGTAGTACATACGTTTGCCGCTCCTTGCGTTGCTACTGCAGGTAATACAAAATACTACCTTATTACTACATATTTTTGTTATTACTATCCTCCGTTTCCTATTAAAGACATGCCACATGCGCATATATGTTATAACAATAGTATGTATGTACGTGTTATGTATGTATGTATATGAGGTGTTATAATTAAAAGCATATTTGAAAAGTCAACTCCCCGTTTGGTAAGTAGTAGTCCCGTATTATACGTAGTATATTTTAGGTTGCCTCTTATAGTGGATATATATATAAATTTAATTGACACACTTCTCAAATTAAGAATATGTTTAAAATGTCATTTTGTAACATGTTAAAAAATTTACCAAGTTGGTGTTATTATCTATTTCATATTATTTAAATTTTCGGGGTGTCACATTCTACCCCTCTTAAAATATGTTTCGTCCCCGAAGCACTCACTTACTCAAAGAAGGTTACATTACAAATCATGCAATAAAAGTGTGCGTTAATGTATTCCAATCCGTATGTTTAAATAATAAATTCACATCTTAGTTTTTTTTTTTGCATTTAAATTTTTAGGGTGTCACAGAAATTCCCACAAATAAAAGAGGGACAACCGAAGGATCGTGCACTCGCCGACCTCGGCGAAAATCCCCACAAATAAAAGAGGGAGAGTCGAAGGACCGCGCACTCTCCGGCCTCGAGCGAAATCCCCACAAATAAAAGAGGGAGAGTCGAAGGACCGCGCACTCTCCGGCCTCGAGCGAAATCCCCACAAATAAAAGAGGGACTGCCGAAGGACCGTGCACTCGCCGGCCTCGAGCAATAAAAATAAAATCCCCACAAATCAAGCCACATATTTGGCTAAGTACATATCAGGCAAATACTATGCATTATGGACGAAGCAAGACCATACATGCGGATCAGACGAGTGCCCAACGTCGTCCCTCATCATAGGACTGGCTTCGTCGTCCCTCATCATAGGACCGACTCCGTCGTCCCTCATCTTCAGACGAGCGTCCAAACGCCATCCTTCATTTTCAAACAGGCTCATCGGCACCGTCATCCTCAGAGGACAGGCGCCCGGCGCCGCCGTTCATCTTCAGACGACTGGCTTCATCAGCGCCGCCGTCCTCAGATCACGGCAGAACCCTCAGTCTCAACATGATCCTTCATCTCAAGACCGGCTTCCTCAACGCCGAGAGTCTTGAGCTTGTATGACGAACGACTTCGTCAATACCTCGTCATCATTTATTTAGGTCGGCTTCATCATCGCTGTCATCCTCAAATCACGCCCGATCCCTCGACCTCGGCGTTATTATTTATCTCAAGGCCGGCCTCCTCAGCGCCGAGAGCCTTGAGCTTACACGACGAAGTTCTTCATCAATGCCTTCGCCATCAAAGGACAAACGTCATCTTGAAACCAGGGTGAAAGCCTGGTCCTCACATGACATACGGCTTCATCAAAGCCGTCATCATCAAGGGACATACGACTAGTGTCGTCCTTCATCTTCAGATGACCGGCTTCATCAGCGCCGTCGTCATCAGGGAACAAACGACCAACGCCACCCCTCATCTTCAGACCGGCGTCAAAGCCTGGTCCTTCATATGATGTACGGCTTCATCAACGCCATCGTCATCAAGGGACGTGCGTCCAGCCCGCCCTTCATCTTCAAGCCAGGGTCAGAGCCTAGTCCTTATATGACGAACGGCTTCATCAATGTCGTCGTCATTAAAGGACGCGCGTCTAGTGTCGTCTCTCATATGACGAACGGCTTCACCAGCGCCATCGTCATCAAGGAACGTGCGTCCAACGTCGTCCTTCATCTTTAGGACCGCGTCAAAGCTTGGTCCTTCACTTGACGCACGGCTTCATCAAACGCTAGCATCATCAAAAGACGAGCGTCCAACGTCGTCCTTCATTTTCAGGCGGCTCATCACTGTCGTCCTCATCTTCAGACCGGCGTCAAAGCCCGGTCCTTCATATGATGTACGACTTCATCAACACCGTCGTCATCAAGGGACGTGTGTCCAGCACCGCCCTTCATCTTCAATCCAGGGTCGCAGCCTAGTCCTTCACATGATGAACGACATCATCAACACTGTCGTCATCATAGGACGTGCGTCCAGCACTGTCCAACTCTAGGCCAGCATTAAAGCTAAGTCTTTCATGTGACGAACGACTTCACCGGCACCGTCGTCATCAGGGGACGGGCGTCCAACGACATCCTTCATCTTCAGGCGTCCAACGTCATCCTTCAACAAAGGAAGAGCGTCATCAACACCGTCCTACATCTTTACGACAACTCCAAAACTTGGTCCTTCATATGACGATCGGCTTCATCAGTGTCTTCATCATCAGGGGAGGAGCGTCCAGCGCTGTCCATCTTCAGACGAGCGCCCAGCGCCACCCTCATCATCAGACGTGCGTCCAACGTCATCCCTCATTTTCAGACGGCTCATCAGTGCCGTCCTCAACGCCAGACGAGCGCCCAGTGTTGCCTTTCATCTTCAGATGACCGGTTTCATCAGCGTCGTCGTCCTCAGATCACGGCAGACCCCTCGGTCTCAACGTGATCCTTCATCTCAAGACCGGCCTCCTCAGCGCCGAGCATCTTCAGCTAGCGAGCGGGCTCGCGATTCCCTTCCTGAATGGCGACCCTCGCCTTCATACGACGAGCGGCATCATCACCATCGTCATCCTCAGATCATGGCAGACCCCTCGGTCTCAACGTGATCCTTCATCTCCAGACCGGCCTCCTCAGCGCCAAGCGTCTTGAGCTAGCGATCGGGCTCGCCATTCCTTTCCTGAATGGCGACCCTCGCCTTCATACGACGAGCGGCTTCATCAGCGCCGTCATCCTCAGATCACGGCAGACCCCTCGGTCTCAACGTGATCCTTCATCTCAAGACCGGCCTCCTCGGCACCGAGCGTCTTGAGCTAGCGAGCGGGCTCACCATTCCCTTCCTGGATGGCGACCCTCACCTTCATACGACGAGCGGCTTCATCAGCGCTGTCGTCCTCAGACCATGGCAGACCCTTCGGTCTCAACGTGATCCTTCATCTCAAGGCCGGCCTCCTCAGCGCCGAGCGTCTTGAGCTAGCGAGTGGGCTCCCCATTCCCTTCTGGGATGGCGATCCTCGCCTTCATACGACGAGCGGCTTCATCAGCGCCGTCGTCCTCAGCTCACGGCAGACCCCTCGGTCTCAACGTGATCCTCCATCTCAAGGCCGGCCTCCTCTGTGCCGAACGTCTTGAGCTAGCGAGCAGGCTCGCCATTCCTTTCCTGGATGGCGACCCTTGCCTTTATACGACGAGCGGCTTCATCAACACTGTCGTCCTCAGATCTCGGCAGACCCCTCGGTCTCAACGTGATCCTTCATCTCAAGACCAGCCTCCTCAGCGCCGAGTGTCTTGAGCTAGCGAGCGGGCTCGCCATTCCCTTCCTGGATGGCGACCCTCGCCTTCATACGACGAGCGGCTTCATCGGCGCCGTCGTCCTCAGACCACGGCAGACCCTTTGGTCTCAACGTGATCCTTCATCTTAAGACCGGCCTCCTCAGCGCCGAGCGTCTTGAGCTAGCGAGTGGGCTCGCCATTCCCTTCCTGGATGGTGAGCCTCGCCTTCATACGACGAGCGGCTTCATCAGCGCCGTCGTCCTCAGATTACGGCAGACCCCTCGGTCTCAACGTGATCCTTCATCTCAAGACCGGCCTCCTCAGCGCCGAACGTCTTGAGCTAGCAAGCGGGCTTGCCATTCCCAACCTGGATGGCGACCCTCGCCTTCATACGACGAGCGGCTTCATCAACGTTGTCGCCCTCATGCGACGAACGACTAATCACCACAGTCGTCCTCATGGACACATAGGCGTCCACCTCCTCGTCCTCAGATTCAGACAGACATCCACCGCCTCGTCCTCATATTCGGACCGGCTCATCAGCGTCGTCGTCCTCACCACCAGGCGGGCGTCCCCTCAGCAGACGGACACTGCTGCAGCTCCACACCCAGGCCGAAGGGTTCACCCCCTTGGAGTTCATTTTGGGGGATCCGGTGTGCTCTTTTTCCTATATTAGGATTTTTTCCCAGAAGGTTTTTCCTAATGAGGTTTTTAACGAGGCATCGCCCCATTGTGGATCAAAAGGTGTCAACCCTCGTCCCCCTATTTGAAGATGTGCATTGCTCTACTCCTCTTCACCTCACTACATGAGCCTCGAGGAGTGGGGGACTAGGGGACTACATCGGCCTCCACATACATGAAAACATCCAGAAAGCAACAACAAGCAAGGATTACCAAGTGGTACCTCTGTCGGCCATGTCTCCATCGGCCAGAGGAAGGTCTGGGGGACTACATCAGTCCAGCGCAAAGATAAACAAGTTCAAAAATGCAACGAACACAGTCCATGACAATGGTACCTCAACGTCCAACAACCATGTGGTCACCCTTCGGCCAAGCCGAAGCGCAAAGCAGGACACACATCATCCTCAATGTCAAGGACACACATCGTCCTAAAGATCAAGAACCAAACAAATGCACCACGAACGTTCGCAAGTGTACGATCCATCAGCCAAAGTCTAAAGCACAAAGCCATGGACATCCTCAACCATGTGATCCACCATCGGTCAGAATGAAAAGGACACCACGGACGTCCACCCTCGGCCAAACCAAAGCGCATAGCAGGACTTTCTTCGTCCACAAAACAAAGGGTGCACAACGTCCTCTAGTCCAGGACCCCGATCGTCCTCAAAGCCAACGACGGCCAAAGAGAGGTCATATCACCTTCACGGCTGAGACCGCGCATCGTCCTCGAAATGAAGGACATTCATCGTCCTCGAAATGAAGGACATTCATCGTCCTTGAAATGAAGGACATTCATCATCCTTGAAATGAACGGCATTCATCGTCCTCGAAATGAAGGACATTCATCGTCCTTGAAATGAAGGACATTCATCGTCCTTGAGATGAAGGGCATTCATCGTCCTCGACATGAAGGACATTCATCGTCCTTGAAATGAAGGACACTCATCGTCCTCGAAATGAAGGGCATTCATCGTCCTCGAAATGAAGAGCATTCATCGTCCTCGATATGAAAGACATTCATTGTCCTCGAAATGAAGGACAAGGCAGCCAACAATTATGGCACCGCCTCGGCCAGGAACACTAGAACTCCCAGGTAACCCTCTGTCGGCCAA